TGAACATGAAGAGAAAGCATCCTCCATTAGGGCTTTGTATAAAATATAAACTCTAATACACTCTTTTGACCCAAACTCTGACTTACAGTAATCCACCTACTGTTGTATTTCCAGAGGAATTCCAGTCTCTTCGCTTGTCCTTTTCTCCAAACCTGGATGACTACAACCCAGATATCCCTGAGTGGAGGAGGGACATCAGCCGAGTCATCAAAAAATCCCTGGTGGAAGTGAGTGCAAACAGTTCCTTCTCTTGCCTGGGTACATTTCCCCTCTGTCCTTGAAGAATTTCATGGAGAGGGGACCTTTGTGCAAAGAAATGACAGGAAAGAGCTGGAACCCGTGGGAAGTCAGTCAGTCTGAGATCTGCACAGCGGAGCCCCACACCAGCAGACGGATTGTTGGAAACCATGGACAAACATGGGGCCCTTGCCCACTGTGAGGGTTGTTCCGCTTAGAGAAGAAGGTCGTGGATGCTTGTGATAGTTGTATGTATAGCAGAGTTCACGATCAGGCCATTAGTGAGTGTAAGATCAGCTTCTGTGCGTGACAATGGAGGGACACAGTGTGTAAGTGTCCCCAAGGGTGAGCACAGTTAGTAAGAGTGGTCTTAGGTTCCAGCTCCACAACTGTGAGCCTGACATTACAGTGAGCTTTCAGTACGTGACGGTTAGTCATATTTCTATCTCCCAGTTCTTTTAAAGACACTTCTCTCCTATAACAGCCCCACAAAGGAATTATTACCCTCATTTTGTAGGTGAGGCAACCGAGGTTGAGAGAGGTTAAGTAACTTGCCTAAACTCTCCCAACTACAAAAGTGAAGTGAGGGGCCTGAGTCCAATGTCTGGGTTTTTACCTTTGCAACACAGCCTCCCAAGGTTTCTGAGAGAATAAGGTGGTGTGGTTTATCCCTCTCTAAGCAAACGTCACTGACAACTGGAGAAGACACCACCTTTTAGGCACATCCCCCCTGCGCATTCTGATACCAAACTTCAGGTTCTTGGTCCCCGAGTCAATAGAAATTGACATGAGACTGCAAAGATTTAGGCAGACAAGGCTTAATTTGAGGCTTTTGCTTGAAAAAAAGGGGAGACAGTGCTGGTTAAGAAGCAACCAGACTGGCTCTCTGAACACAGAGCTGGAGAACTTTTAAAGGGTAGAAAGAGAGAAAGTTTAGCACCAGCACTGAAATCATAGCATGTAGAGGCGGGGTTTTATTGGCATCTGCCCCCCTCCAGTAATCATGCTTCTTCATGCATCACATGTTTAGTTAGCATGTTAAATTTCCACTCTTGGGCATGACTTTTAGCATTAAAATGAGGGAAAAGGTCTATCAGTGGTCAACTTTGGGCTTCATCTTGGCAGCAACCGGTTTGTACTGGCTTTAACTGGGGCACAGTTGCCACCTCCTGTTAAAGAAAGCAGAACTACCTCCTACTGAAGCTGGTGTTAATTCTTTCAAGGCTTTTTGTCAGTGTTGTAAGCAGACTTAAGCTTTGGCTCAAGGCTCAGGCAGGTGGCCAAAGTCCACTTCCAATACCATCTCAATTCCACTTTCATGAGTGAGCCACTCACGGGGCTGCTTGAGCTTATTGCACACACGCAGAAAATCAGAGATGAGTTACATTTTCCTGGAGCATCTTCTTAGCCCCAGAAGAAAATCAATTTAGTTTTCTGTACATTCTTCCTTACTCCCCACACATGATGCCACATGACACAAAAAGATGGTGGGATAAAGGTGTTCAGATAACCTCTGCTCAGAAAAGACATCTCTCATCCAGCCTCTTGGCAAAGAGCTGGTCTTTGCCATCTTCATGCCATTGCCTTTGTTGATATTTATTTAGCTCTTACAATATTCTAGGCGCTCCTTTCAGTGCTTTGCAATATTTAATACATTTAATACCCAAAGTAAGCTCGTGGTGTTGGAACTGTGTATTCCCTCTCATTTTGCAGGTGAAGAAACTGAACGTAGAGATATTAGGTAACTTTTTCAAGGTTGTACGGTTAAGAGTCAGGTTCTGGAGTCAGGACGGCAAGGTGTAAATCTTGATTTTGTGGTTTCCTACCCTCTCCACTTTACTGCCATCCATTACCTTATTCCAAGGAGAAACAGGTGTGGATGAAACAGTGGTGTGGAAAGGAGGGATTCGCATATGCCTTTGCGCACCTCTGTTTCCATGGTATCTGTGACATTATTGGTAGTAAACACTTTGGCCACCAGGAGGCACAGCTGCTAGACTACAGGCCTACCTGGAATAGGCCTCTCTGCCCTTGGAGCCATCTGTCCCTGGTGTGACAACTGGTTTCTCTCATTCATTGTCCAAGAGAGATGGCTTACATCCTTCAATGAACCCACTTCCCACCTCTTTTTGTCTGCAGCCTTCTAGGGACCCATGTCCCCACAGGTCTGCCAGGCAGCTGTCTAACTCCTCCAGGTGATTTATCAACAAGGCATTAGCTGAGCAATGACCAGCCTTCCAAGGTGATTTATCTCCACACTTACTGTCTAGAGATCGGATGCCCCGGCCCTCCACCTTTCTAACAGCTGTCCAGTAGGCTAGAAACTACTGCTCATCAGTGTTTCTAGGCTGCTGCATAGCATAATCAGCTAAATACAGAATACACAGGATGGCTCGACATTTCTCAGGGGAAGGTTGTAGCAACGGTGGTGGTGAGGTTAATACCTTCCAAGTCCCAAGGCTCTCTAGTTACCCAATCCCAACAGGCAGCTGACCCAGCCCTGGTTCCCAGCATCCAACCCTCTCTTTGAGATCAGCAATTACACTTGACCACTTGTGCCCTAAGGGACCCCATTGCTGTGTACTCTAACAAACACTATGAGAGGTACAACTTAGAGTCAGCTTATCCACAGTTTTTTTGGTTTTTTTCCCAACCAATGAAAAAAAAAAATTGGGGGGAAAATGGGTAACGTTTTCCCAACAAAATGGCCTTTGCCAACGAAAATTCAAAAAGAAAACCTTAAATGAAAGGCAATCAAGAAAAAATTTTGCAAAGAAAGAAGAAGAATCCGAAAAAAACCCCGAAGTTAAAAACAAAGAAGGGCAAAAAAAAACCGGGGGGTAACCGGAAGAAGAACCGGGGGCCGGAAAGGGCCGGAAAAAAAAAACAAAAAACAACGGGTAACAAAAAAAGCCTCACAACCCCAACAATCATCCCGAAGAACAAGCAACCCCCAAGTTGCCCGGAACCAACGGTCAACCCTCCCAAAAGTAACAACCTTCCCGGGGGGGAAAAAAAAACGCAACCCCCAAAAAAAACCCCGGTCAAGGAAAAGCCTGGCCACCTAACCCCCAAGAAGGCCAAGGGCAAAAGCCTCCAACGCCCGGGTCCAAGGCAAGCCAACTTCCAAAGGGGCCCAAAACCGAAGAAGAAACGGGGCAAGTAAAAAAAAGCAAGCCCAGCCCAACCCAAATTAACAAAAACCCGAAAAGCCCCTCCAACCCCCCAAGGGGGCCCCTGAAAACGCCAGTGGGCCTAACTGGCAACCCAAACAACCCCCCGCCCAAGCCCAACTCCCTCCCCCGGGGGGTGGTCCCAAAAACAACCCCTAAGAAAAAACCCGCAAAACAAAACCAAAAGCAACCTCCCAAAGAACCCAACCCGGCAAAAGGCCTCAACTCAAAACGAAGAAAAAAAAAAGTCCCTCAAAAGGGTGGTGGGGGGGGGTGCAAAAAATAATATCATAAGTTACTCAGCACAATGCCAGGCACTTGGCGAGGACCCAATACATGTCATTTCTTGCTGCTTCAAAAAAGGTACCAATGTAGAATTCAAAACATACAGTCACCTAATTGGGAAATAACGAAAAATGTACTGAAATAAGTGGGCTTTAAGATGACTCATCAAGGATAAGTAGGGTTCTAGCAGCACATGTAGAGAAAAGACATTCTGGGGGAGATGGCATGCGCAAAACCATTTGCAGGAAAGCCTGGAATATTGAGAAATTGTACGTCATTCCATTTGGCTAAAGCGTAAGAGGCCTGTGTGAGTTGTAGGTAATTGGTTTGGAAAGGGAGTGTGGGACCACACTGCAGAAGGGCTTGAATGTGCACTTAATCCTGTTAGCAATGGGAGTCTTGCAAGCATCTGGACAGGGAAACGCGGTCTGAGTCAGACTGTAGAACGGTAAAGCTGGAAGTAGTAGCCCGTCTCCTGGAGATGCGGAGGCTATTGTAAATCTTAAGGGGAGAGTGCATGGGGGCTGGATTGGGATATTAACAGTGGGCATTTAAACAGGAAGAAACCAATAGGATCATGAGTGCGAAAGTCGACTTGTCAAGGTCTCACAAAATGATTAGATATGATGGGGCAGGGGAGTGTGGTGTAAGAGGTGAATGCAGGGCTTCAAGTAAGGGTATCTGGGAAAGGACTGCTTCAGTTCACCTAAATGGAGAATGAAGATTTTGCAGGTGAAAATGAGAAGTTCTTTTGTTGACATGCATGGTGGAAGTCCTGGTGAAACAACCAATGGTGTTATGAATGGCTGCTGGAGAGAGAAGCTGGGCTAGAACCACTTAGAGAGGGCTCAGGGGAAACCCTGGGATATAAGCCCAAGAGACAGCAGAGGAACGAAGACAAAGAGGAATTCCTTGAGTGATATATCTATGATTTTCTCAGAAGACTCAGCATGGCCAAGTGAGGGGCTCAGAGTGCTTCGGGAAACAGGGCTGAGAAGTCAGCAGGTGCCTCCTGAGGACCGTGATAGGGAAGTCCTTCTATTTAAAGAAATATAGGCACGGGGAAGATAAGCAAAGTGCTTAAGGTCTCACAGTGTTGGGCCTGGGATCAAATCGTGGACAGTCTGACTCCGGAGCCTGCACCTGTAGCCTGGTCCTGCCTCTAATGTACCTTCCTGCCTGCTGCACCCAGGCCTTTGCTTTCACGCCCCCGACTCCCATGGGTCTCCCTCCACCCCCAACCCCTGCTCCCTTCTCATTATTCTTTCTGCAGGACTTACGTGAGCCTCTGTGTCTCTCCCTCAGGCCACGGGGGTTCCAGCCCAGCACATCTTGGTGGCGGTGCTCCCTGGCTTACCCACTGCTGCCGAGCTCTTTGTCTTGCCCTATCAGGATCCAACGGGAGAAAACAAAAGGTCAGCAGACGATCTGGAGCAGGTGAGTCCCCAGGTGACATTCCAGCTTCTCTCTGCAGTCTGAGCCACACCCACTGCTAGTATGACCACCACAACAGCAGCTCAGAGGGGTCTCTGGGCTTAAGAGAAGGGGCCCCTGCTGTTTGTGGAGTCCCTGACTTTCTGGTCCTCCAATTCTCATCCATAAACTGGTGATTCTAACTAACAGACTCACCAAAAACTCATATAAGAGTATTTATTGTAGGGAATGGCTAAATTATTCACACTATGGAATACTCTACAGTGTTTATAATGAATAAATCTATGTGTACCATTGTAAAAAACTGTTTCATGGTAGTAAGTGAAAAAAAACCACAAGTAGCTGAATGACACATAGATGATGAACCCATTTAGGTCTTACTTATCACAAATGTTGTGAGAATCAAATGACATGATATGCATATCTTTTTTAAAAGACACAACTTTTATACAAATCATTGATTCTTTTATGATCTAATTTGTGTTTATAATAAATGAGTAATATTGGCTCCAGGACACCTCCACGGGCTCTGTGGGGGTTCACTTTCTCCTCATCTCCACCACCTGCTGGGGCATTAGAGAGAGAGAGAGATTGTGTGTGTGTGTGTGTGTGTGTGTGTGTGTGTGTGTTTCTCTCTCCCCCCTGCCCACCTTGGTCTCCTTTTCTTCCGTTTCCTCTTTTAAACTTCGAAAGACTCTCCCGTCTCTGTGGTGGGGATTATTATGTTGTTCTTCTTCATCCATTCAGTTAAAATGATCAGTCTTGGTCTAGTTGTCCTTTTAAAGACCAGATGATTTCAGTTTCTCAGTTCTTCCAGGAGGATAGATCAAAAGTAGGATTCCTCTCAGCTACTAAATAAATACTGGCTATTCTCTCTCCAGCACTTGAAGCTTTTCTATTTACTTTGAATAAACCCATAATCTAGCCTCATAATCTCTAGTCTTCCAAGATGGCAAGAGAACATTCTACAGCAGCATTATTAACAACAACTCCAATTTATGGCGTGGCCCACCTCCTGGCACACACAGCCCTTTCAACTGCCACTTTCTCACTTGGCAGAAGACTCATGTCTATAATGTTCTCTGTGTTCAAGCAATGAAGGACAGAGCTGCCACAGAAAGCTCTGTTGAACCGCGTTTCCAAGTGGTAAGTGGAGTTGAAGAGTGGGCAGCAGGTAATCTTCCAGATGTGCATCTGATCTCCCTGCTCCCAGCTTCCCATCGTATCTACGGATTATCATCTGTGCTGCAATTTGGTGGGAGAAAGAATGGGTTATTTCTTAACACAGCACTGCCAAGAACTTACAGAGGGAACAGATTTCTACCCAAGGCTTTTACATACAAATATTTGCAGTTGTTCCTCCTCTGGAATCTTACTCATTTTCCATGAAATCTAGGTTATAATTTTTCAAGTATGGAAGGGGATACAGATTTAGAGTCATCTTTTTTCCTAGGTACCACATCATCTGTGCGTCGTTATTTCTCACGTTTTCCATTTTTCTCTAAAAGTGTAATATTTTCTGCATGATTATTTAAGGTGAAATTTGGAAAGAAACATCTTATATTTACTTGTGGAAGTATCTTGCTTTGACTGTCTGTTTTCTCTAGGTTTCCTTTCATTCTCTGTCTCTTCTGGGTGCTTCCTTCAAAGGCATTCTCAGAGAGCTGAGTGATGGTCCCCAAAGCAGCCTGTATCAGTCATCGATGAACCATCTAATCAGAGAACTGAAAGCAATTGGCTTGTTTGAAGGCCATGTGACTTAGCATTTGGCTCACATGTAGGGAGTCTAGCCATTCGAGTAGAAAGAACATAGGTTTAGATAAATATAAGCCAGGTTTCTAGTTTCATCTCTGATTTTTTGTGTCTGTTTCATAGATGAGAAAAATGAGGACCAGAAAAGTTATATAATTTAACAGAAGTCTTACTCATCTCATGGGGTGTTTGAAAGGATTAAAGAAATGATATAGCAAAGTACTTGGCCTAGACTGTATGATGAATAATGGTAGATAGAGAATGGTTACATCTGTGCTTGTTGTATGATAAGAAGAAGTGTGGAAAATGACAAAAAAATGTTTAGGACTATTAAGTAGACTGGTATCGTCAAGGATGTGTGGAAGAGAGGATGGTGGGAGTAGGGAGCAAAGGATTAATGAATGGAATTACTTAACATGGAGAAGAAAACAAGAACAATAAGAAAGGGAAAGGACATATATGAATGGTATGAGCTGATTTAAGTTATGCAGATTTATAGCAGTAAAGAAAAATAAAGTATCAAGCTAGAGATTGTAACTTTGTTTAAGGAAATTGCTAGTGTATCAGCCTCTTCCAGGACTCAAGCTAAAGTAAATACAGTGACCATACAACTGCCAAACCAAGCATGTCAGAAATTAGTGTCTTAGTTGTGAAGAACATTACTGCCCTGATTAAAAAGTACAGCAATGAAATCAATTTGTAAAAAAGGCACATGTCTAAACCCTGTGCAACAGGGACTGCCCCCTGGAAACCTGTAGTTCTTAATGTAGGAGGGACCTTTAATCTTTCTCTGTGACTCAGTCACTTAAACAACTTTAGGGGAAAAAATGAATTTATGAATTCGTTTAATGGAGAAGTGCAGAGATACAGTTCAGGCATGGATGAATTCAGAGCCCGTCAAAAGTGTCAACGAATTTCTTACCTCTCTCCCTTTCTCTGCATCTGTTTTCCTTGTGATGATATGGAAAGTTGGCCTGAGAATGAAGCCAACACATAGGAAAACAAGGAGAGACACAGGACTCCCCAGCTTCTATTTAGCCGTTTTATCAACCACATCCAAAAGACAGTACCCCTCTTCTGATAGCATCAGCAAGAGCCCCAGGTACACAATTTTTATGCTCCGACCTGGGTGAAGTGGCATCTCTCCAGCAGTCCCTTGCAGTCATGGGGATAGAGAGCTGTCAGTGACAACCTCAGATGTTTTATACCTTCCCTGAACCAAATGGAACAAGAGTGGAGAAGGACATGATTCCTCAAAGAAAAATGTGAGGAAGGGAGGAGTGCTGGGCGGGCAAAAGCAACTGACTTCCATCATAAGAAATTAAACAGAAATCTAAGACAAATGCAAAGCAAACCCAAACAGCAGAAGTGAACCCTCTCCTTTGAAGGCTGCTCTCTGAATCTCAGCTGAAACTTGGAAAGGGCTTTTCTTATCCCCTCTCTTCATGCCCTGGCCCCTTTCTTATAAAAATGTGGTACAGAACCCCCAGCAGAGGAAGAACTGGGACCCTGGCCAAATGGCCTCTACAGGATGGGAGGCGAGGCCCCAGAGAAGGGCTCTGAGCTCTCCTTCCTCTCCTCGGAGAGCATTCCTGGAGAGCAGGGACGCTAGCTCTCTTGGATTGAGCTATCTTGTCTGTGAAATAAATTGAAAATTCTTTACAGTGGGGAGTACTTGACCCTGTTATCGGGATGCTGCAGGCTGGGTTAATCAAGTGGCGTCTGTCTGGGAGGATTCCACCAGTCTTATAAGATCTCTGGTGAGTGAGAAAAGGCTCTCTCGCCCTTAGTTGGCCTCATCCAGGCAGCACGTGGATGGAGCAGGACTGGAGCATCCAGTCCAAGATGCTCCAGGACTGGAGCAAGCCCTGCTCCTCCAACATTGCACTCCCTTGCTCCTCTCAGAGTCCTCAGGGCTCAGCAGATTTGTATTGGGCTCTCCTGGAGGGAGGAAAGACCACCAAGCTCTATGGAGATGTTTTGTGATGCTGTGCTGGGGAGATAAGGAGCCTACAGGGTGTTGTCTTTCAGAATCCTTAAAGGGCATGAGAACATTGAAAAGGAGCAAAAACAACTGTGGGAAAAGTGTCGACCACAAACAATATATTTTCTCATTGGCTGTTTATATTACCATACCCATTTGACAGATGCAGAACCCGAAATCTGAGGAAGAAATCAGATCTTAAAATAGAATCATCCACTGGCAGCTTTTTAAGAAATTAAAGATTTATTGTGACATGTAATTAATAATCTCAGACTGTTTTCTATATGTCCACATAGTGTATCTGGCAGTCCAGATTTTTTACCATGGAGAGTTGAATTATAAAATTACTCTGGGGTTTACAAGGAAGGTAACTGAAGTAGAAAAACTATAACTGAAGGTAGAGTAGGTAAGATTTGGACCAAAACAAATATGGCAGGAGACAGAAGCTTAAAGCTGGTGACGGGGAAACCAAGGGAGAGAAGTGTTTATGGCCAATTTCTTCTTTCCGTACATCATCCAGGAAACTTCTCAGGCACTTCAATCAAGTTGATTCTTTTGTGCTAAGAAGGAATGGGATTGGGTGAGCTAGCGTTAACTAGAACTCAGTATTTGTCTCCATTGCTTCCCCATTATTTGATCCAGAAATCATGTTGTATGAATTGGGAAAGACGTTCCTCTGTTGAAGACAAAAGGAATTTTCCTCAACTGCTATTTGAAGAGACCTTAGTAACATGACAGGATCAGAACTGACCAACTGAGTCAGCTCTGAGGTCATTCTAGTCAAGGATGTCTCTAAACAGGACACCAGAATGCTATGTATGTTCAGTAGGATTTGCAATTTACCTACCAACTTTGGAATAAGCATTGGTATTTTGGCCCAGTGTAGCTTTATCATTGATAAATTTACCAAAGCCCATTTTGAATCTATATTTTCACCTTGTACCACTTCTTTGGGTTATGTGTTTTATACATTTACGAAAGACATGCTCTATGGTCCTTAAAAATTCTTCTTTTGTTGTGTTTCAGGGATTGCTACTTTCATTCTAATAATCTGAGAGTGTGTTTTCCCATATTGGCTTCATTAAAAATTGTTTAGATGCTGAATGTGTTCTTTGTGTGGTATTCATCACTGCTGTTGACTGAACATTTTCAGTCCACTGCCCCTTCTGGGTACACTATAGGATTGTACTCTTGAGTCTCTTCTGGTTGAGCAGAACTGCAGGACTTATTCAGGCCAGTGAGTTGGGAGCAGAAGTGATCTGTGTTGCTTCCAAGCTAAAGTATCCAAATACTAGTTCTACAACTCGAGAGCTCCTTTTTTCCCTCCTACGGTGTATGTGTGAATGGAAATGTTTGAGTTGGCTGCTCTACCAGCCTGTGTCCCTGTGTGACCTACCTGTAGGGGATATGACATGCGAACAGGTATGTCTTTGTTAATTCAAGCCCCTGAGAATTTAGAATCTTTACCTCAGCCTACCCTAGTCGATTCTGACTGTTACACTCATCTTCAACTTTTGTCAAGAAGATGAAAAGGAGAGGTGGTGTTTTCCCTGTAGCAGGTCCTTTCCACAAAATCCTTTTGATGGTAGCCTTGCTAGTATTTGTATTGAGTCCCCACTGTTCTTTTAAGTGGTAGTTTAAATTGTGTGCTGCATTTGATCAAAGGCATATTCCACCAAATAGGCAGATATCAGTAATAATATATTGTTCCTTTGGTCATGATTGTTTAGCTGAAGTAGAATAGAAAGCAGACAGTGCAAGAGGCCAGCAGAAGAGGGATGACTGTATAAAAGATAAATGAAATTTGTTGAGACAATACACTTGTCACCAGAAAGACAAAGAAATAAATTCGACTTGCTTCAGCAGGTCCAGACTCCCAGAAATCACACGTTATTTCACTTGAGTCTTTATCGGGCAAGAGTTTGTTCTTCTCACTTAGGCTATTGCTATACTTCTCTGTAGACTGCAGTTTATTCTACTCCATTCCAGCCGCAGACTCTCCCAAACATTACCAATTGTATTACCTGGCGAACAGAATGTGGCCATCCTGTTAGAAATTGCCTATTCCTAGCCCATATTGGTCATTGAACATCAGAGCTGGCGTTTTAAATTGTGTGCTTCACAGATGAGTGAGAGATGGCAGAATAATGAATGAAATGCTGCGTTTTTTCCATCTCCTAAACCCACTCTGCCAGACGTCTCTGCACATATCTTTTGCCATCACTCTATTTGTCAACCAGTTCAAGTAAAATGTTTTCAGTGGGAAATGCCCTAGGATTAGGAGTCAAACAAAGCTGTAGTCTGGTCTCAACTTTTCAAATATTAACTGGGTAAACTTTGGCATTTCTTTTAAGCTCCATGTTCCTTTCCATGGAGATACCAGCACTAACACCTAAGCTATACGGTGTTAGAACAAATAGAAAGAAATAAGCAACTTTACCAAAATAATGTTCAATGCATATATAATATACTTTAAAATATATATAACAACTCATGATCTGATGAAAATAATACAGGATAAACACTTCTGCAAGTGGCATGGAAATGATTTAAAATACTGTGAAAATCTGTCAACAGTTTCGTACTCATTTATTTGAGTAGAAAAGTACATGGTTCTAATTGAGATTCTTCTTGTATGCAATGTAAGTTTCATTTGGTTTTCTTTCTTATACATAAGTTTTTTCCTCAAAGCTTATGTTCATTGTTGAATGTCCTTTGTTGCAAGTTAAACACATGAAACATACTTCCTATTACCAGATCATTTTTACATTTTCTGCTTAATTTTGTAAATGATACAGATTGAGCCAACTGAAGTAATGGTATAATAGGAAGTTAATTATTTTCACAAGACTTTCCCAGAGATTATACATTATAAGCATGTTGTTCTGATGAACTCTATTTTCTGGTTTAGTGATTTATATCTCTCACACTAAGAAAAAATTTTCAGGGATAAGAAATATTACTTTACCTGGTTGAAAGTGGAAAGTCTTTTTTTTTTTTAATTACAGGGGTACAAAGGTTTAGGTTACATATACTGCCTTTGCCCCACCCGAGTCAGAGCTTCAATCATGTCCATCCCCCAGACGGTGTTCACGGCACCCATTAGGTGTATATATACCCATCCCTTCCTCCCCCCTCCCACCTGCCCAACACCTGACGAATGTTACTACTATATGTGCACATAAGTGTTGATCAGTTAATACCAAATTTGACATTGGGTACATGTGGTGCTTGTTTTTCCATTCTTGAGCTACTTCTCTTAAGTAGAATGGGTTCCAGCTCTATCCAGGATAATACAAGAGGTGCTATATCACCATTGTTTTTTGTGGCTCAGTAGAACTCCATGATATACATTTACTACCTCTTATTAATCCACTCATGTGTTGATGGGCACTTGAGTTGCTTCCACATCTTTGCAATAATGAATTATATTACTATAAACATTCTAGTGCAAATGTCTGAGACAGGAACACTCATACACCGCTGGTGGAACTGCAAACTAGTACAACCTCTATGGAAAATAATATGGAGATACCTAAAAGAGCTAAAAGTACAACTACCATTTGATCCAGCAACCCCATTACTGGGTATCTACCCAAAGGAAAAAAAGAAAGTGGAAAATCTTTCTCTTACAAGTACATAGTTCCCTTTGTTCCATGTGATAGGTTCTGCAAAACAGTCCAATTCCTTAATTGCTTCTGACAAGTCTTTCATATTGAATTAAAATATTTTTTATGGCTGGGAATAGTGGCTCATGCCTGTAATACTAGCACTCTGGGAGGCTGAGGAGGGAGGATCACTTGAGCTCAGGAGTTTGAAACCAACCTGAGCAAGAGCAAGACCCCCTCTCTACTAAAAATAGAAAAATTAAACTGGGCATGGTGGTATGCACCTGTAATCCCATCTACTCGGGAGGCTGAGGCAGGAGGATCGCTTGAGCCCGGGAGTTTGAGGTTGCTGTGAGCTATGATGATGCCACTGCACTCTAGCCTGGGTGACAG